ATTCTTAAAAAAAAAATTAATAACACTAAACTATGAACAGTAAATAATTCATTACTTCATAACCTCCCAATTATACATGAATTCAGACAAAACTTTGTATATTTAAATATATTATATTAATTATAAATCATTTAAAATATTTCATTTAGCATTTATTATTTGATTGTACTTGATTTGAAAACAATAATAAATACATACATACACAGATACATATGAATTTTAACTGAAATATTACAATMATATGACATAAAATAATATACAAATATTATTCCTGCTAAAAGTAATAAACATCTAAAATAATATTTATTAAATATATAATGGTGTGTTTATAATTTATAAGTAATAATAACATATTTAAAGAACTCCTTTAATGTATAATACAACTATTTCAAAACATTTTTGGTGTAACTAGTATGAAAATGTTTAACAATCTTAATTATAAGACCAAATCATTAGATTTTTTTATCCACTGTACAAAGATTAAAAATAATAAAACCAAACTTTATGATCACAAAAATAAAAACATTTTATACGTCTTTTTACATCTAAACTTACAGAATATTTATGACAGTAGTGAATAACTCATTTTAAACTTGGGAAATTTGTTTAATTTTATAACAATTTTTGTCGAAATTATCACAACAATAATTACCTATTTACTTTCGCCTTACAGATTCAGACACATTAGTCGGCAATTTTTCAGGAACTGGTTTTTTCTTATCAGTCAATATAGGGAAAGTCCTACGTCGCACTGTGAGAGTTGCAGATATCTTATGATCTTCACCATTCAAAGATGAGCTATTTCGTTTTTCTACTGGTTTTTCTGACTTATCAGTTCGCACAGCAGATTGAGATCTTGTTGTAGACCCTCCTTTTTTGTCACTTTTTTTATCAAGTCTCTTTTCTTCAATAATGTTTGCATTCTTAGTAGCAGGAGGATTTTGTCTTGTCGAATTTCCTCCTTTACGACCATTTTGTTGTTTAATTACTTTCCCTTTTAATTTATCTTGGAGTTTTAATGGGTAAAATGATCCAGCAGGCTTACGTCTGGTACCAATATCTGATTGTAATGGACTTTGTACCAAACATCTAATTTCAGTACGATCTTCTGCCTTTTTAGCACCTTCTTCACGCCAATATTTCCGCTGTGCTTCAAAAGATTCATACAAAACATTACTAGCTTCTGAATCAATAGCTAAAATATCTTGTAATTTTTGTATGGTCGTATAAAAGGTTACTGGACTTATAAGACGTAAATCACATAAGTTGCAAAGATGTAACATAAAATTTCTATATAAATTATTCCTGAGTATATATCGACCTTTAGATTCAACAAACATGCTTAAAGCTAATGATATTTGGCAATCACCAACAAATCTGAAAGTAAATTTTTAGTAATTAGACTTGGTATTAACAATTAAATGTGAATACATTTACTAAATATAATAATATAATGTCTGTATTCACCCATACCCCTCTTTCATAACATGCAAATTCCACATCTTCATCAGTTCTTTTTCGCCATCATTAACATCTGTGAATTCATCAATCATCATTGCAGTCTTTTTCCTCAACCAAATAGGATCACTTTCATCTTCACTATCTACATCCATTTCTCGTGGATAAATAGGAAGACATGTTGATGTGTGATGATATAATCTGAATGTTAAAATTTGTTATTAAATAAAATTAACTATTACTTATAATAAATCAAGTTTTAAAAAAGTTATGCAAAACCTAATATAATACATAGTTTTGAAATGAATCTAGATACAAAAAAATTAAACGATTGTTCTATTCCTTGATTCATTTCAAAAATACATAATAAAAATTGTTAATGGTTTGCGTACATGGTACATAAGCCATAAGGATTGACTAAAATTATGGTTAGATGTTGGTTTCAGTACTAAAAATTAAWATATAGTATGGTTACTACATGACAACTAACATATTAAATGTAATGGTAACCCTTTTATATAGTTTACTCAAGTTCTGTAGTGTATAATGCAGCCAACTTGCTGTGCACACCATAYTATAGCAGGCATAGTGCTCACATATCGTTGAATCGATTGTGATGACAAACAAGTGTTAAATGATAGCCGCCATCAAGTATAGTTCTTTACTTGAATAGAAAATAAAATATCTATATTTACCTATTATGTCCAGTAACATATGGCCTTTGACCATCATATCCATCAGTATCTTCTAGTTCATGTAGAAACTCAGACAACGAAGCACGCCTGAGTCGTTTTGGGTGACAAACTACTATTTTTGATACAACTGCACGTCTAACAGGACCAACTCTAGTAATACGATAACCAACATTTTTTGATTCATCTCTTTGTGGTTGCGCAATTAAATCTTGTGGACTACCAATGTAACAACCATCATAGTGCTCATTTATTGCAACGTCAATTCTTGCACCAGATCCTGTTGGCTGTATATTTTAATTTTAAAGCAAGYTCAGCTTAAATAACTTTATAGTACAACTTACAACATAAGAAAATGTAAAGCGAGCATGACATAATTTCAAATGCTTAAGTAATGCATATAATGTAAAACAATCCAATGTGCACCATGGGCAGTGTAAATCTTCACTAGCTTCAGTCTGTTGACGGCTATTATTGTTATATAAGAATTGGTATACTATTTTCAACTTATTGGATGACGAATCTAGAGAACCATTTGCATTTTGAACACTGCTACTTCTTCTTGAATTTGATGCTAAAAGAATATTAGCCAAATTAAAAATTGGTTTTTAGTTTTAACAAAAAAGAAATATATTATATATATATGTAATACTTGGCCAATTATTTTCTTTATTATCAACAAGAGGATAAACAATAGCAGTACTATTAGGCTCTGTTGACCACTTTAAACGTAACTTGATCTTTTTACGAGTTTCAAATGCACTAAATTGTGGTCCAGCTCTTACTTCCTACAGTTATAAAATAAGAGTAAAAAATGCTAAATGAGTAAAAAAAATGATAAAGACAAATGTTTAAGTACTTTGAGGCGTTCCCATGAACATGATTTTCCAGTAGCTAAATTGGGACTTTCACCACTAATTTCTTCTACAAGACAATCATAATCACCATCTTTAAGCAAACATCTATTTTGTTTGTCGTGTATAATTAAATTTGCACCAATCTCTTTTTTGACTATACCATTACCCTCTTTAATACTCATCCTTCTTTTTTTCTGACTCGGCTCTGAAATTAATAAATACAAAGTTRTTTTATTACTTATTAGTTATTATCAGGGCTTGGGACTTTTAATATTTGCTAATTTTTTTTGCTCAACATAAAATCTAGCAGAGTGCAATGGAGACTCATATCATGTTACAATGATCTTAAATATAAATGTTGAAAGTGCTTTTTTTTGCTTATTTGAATTGTTTTTAAACAAATTGCTTTTTTCAAGTTTTTCTGAATATCTTTGCTTTTTTACATATTTCTGCTTAATTATGACACATAAACCTAGAGGTTTTAGTTAGTTTATATTTTTTCCACGGTAAAGCTAGAATTAAAAATATTTTTTCTACTTTGTACCATATTTCCTAGTAATGAACACGGGGACCGGCATTTGTTTGCTTATCTACTAATAATTCAATGCAATAGAGAAGGTAAGAAAAATTTTAAAAAAAAACATTTTTTTTTTTTTTTAAAAATCAATCAATTTTTCTTTTGTTATTCTTAAAAGAAAATACATTTATTTTACAGAAAATCTATAAGAAGTACCTAACCTATTCAAAAAGATTTGATATTTGTAACATACATTTTTTTTAAATTTAAATTTTTAAAATAATGTAAAAAAGAAAAATTGCATTTATAGTTTTTGTTGTGATTTTTTAAAATTGTAAGTGATATTTTAGTGCTTATAATCATGTTTTTAAGTGCTTTTTCAAGTGTTTATTTTGATGATTTTAAGTGCAATAAGTCCTGAACCCTGGTTATTACCAACTGAATTGCATAAAAAATAATTAATTCAATAACAATCAAAATATTATAGATTGATAAAATAATATGATGAATAAATTACAATAAATTTAACCGAAACTAGAGATTTTACAACTGCATCAAAACATTTTAACCATTGGAATGGAATACTACTGTTATTCTATCAATATTTTTATTATATAAATTTAATATATTTTAAA